ACGACCCCAATATCTCCGACAAGGTCATGTACCTCCAGATGGCGTTCAAGCAGCGTCCCTTAAGAGACGGTGGAGGAAAGCCCTCCTTGGGACGGTTGGCCCCGTTGGCCCGGCCGCTGTCCAAAGCAGCAGCGCTGGGGGCCAAAATCTGTGTCCTCACTTCGCCGTGGGGGGACAAGCTCCAGGAGTCGCTCTCGTTGGGGGATGGGTCACATCCCTTCCCGGAGGATCCCGGAGGACCTGCTGGAGGACATCAGGGAGATTCTGGCGCCGGGGGCAGGCCGACCAGCGGACGGCTCATCCGGGGCACATTTCTGGAGGAGGTTCCCATGGGCATGGTGGAGGGCCCCTTCAGTAAGGAAGAGGCAGCATCGCGATGTGGCTGCGGAAGCGAGGACCTTTGTCCCGGCCCCCTGGCGGGCATCGACGAGGGGGACAAGATCCGCACGATCTACGATGGCTCGGTGGGAGGGGCCAATGACACCATCAGGAACCAGACGGTGGAAAGGACGACGGCTCCGACGGTGCTGGATGGGGTCCAAGCTCTCCATTGGCTACATGCGGCAGCTGAGGTGGGACCCCCCTCTCAGGGTGCCTCTGGCCCCGAGGGGGGGATCGTCAAACCTCCACCTGGGGGCTGGCTATGGCCGGAGCCGGGCACCAGGTGGGTGCTGCTCAAGGCGGACGTCACCAAGGCCCACCGGAGAGTGAAGCACATATGGCATGGCCAGTGCCCAATCCCGCCTGGCAGCCCTTCTGCTCAGGGTCCTCTACGCGCTTTTGCCCCAAGTGGATTGGAACTTCGTCTTCGTTGACGACTTCCTGTGGCTGCTTCGAAGCGAGGGGGCAGTGAACTTGGCGGTGGCGCTGCTGGCCACACTCCTGGCATTGGGCACCCCACTTAGCTGGAAGAAGACGCACTTGGCGGAGGTCAACACGTGGCTGGGCTTCGTGGTCCACCCGAACATCCCGCAGGTTCTCATGGCGGCCAACAAACACATCCTGGTTATGGAGGTGTTGCAGACCATGGTGGAAGGGCAGGCGATGCACTCAAAGGACATCGAGAAGGCCCTGGGCCGCATCCAATGGGCAACGGCAGCATGTCCGCTGGCGAAGTCGATGCTCCAGCCACTTTGGGCCTGGAAGATGGCCACCACCACGGTGGGAAAACCCCCTAAGGTGGTCAGGATGCTGGCGTTCATGCTGAGGTTCCTCTTCAACACCCCTTTTGTCCAGTACTCCCCCTACTTGCCGAAGTACTCATTCTAGACCAGCACTAACCCCACGCTAAACCCACCTTAAACAAACCGTAAACCAACTCTAAACCAATCCTCAGCCAGCACCAATTGCGCCACGCGCCCAGCATTGCATCCTTTCACTGGCGCCCTCGGGCCCGACTTCCTACTGCAATGTTTGGGAGCAACTAGGGTTGCTTCTGCTAAAAAGCCAGAGTCTTGAATGAAGCTCTGGTTTTCGTCCGCTTCGACCTACTTCAGACGGAAAAGTCTAGAAATTCACCTGCTAGGGTTTTAATTGAATATCCGCGGGGGTCTGTCTGCAAAATTTTGTGTTTTGGAGCGTTGTCTGCGAGGCCGCGACAACTTCGACCCCCGCGCCCCCCTTGGTCGGCGAAATTTGTGTGCCCCAGCTGGTCAAAAACTCTTGCCGCAGGACGTTTGACAACTCACCCTGCGACTCAAGAGCGCGGCCCTCGGCTCTGAACCCAGCGGGCGCGCCTTGCAACGCGCAAGGCCTTGTTTCTGCGCAACTAGGCGCGGACGAAACGGCGGGCGCACGAGAGCTTGGGTCAGGCGCGCCGACGTGGCGTCGCGCTTTGCTCGCGAGAGCTCAGTTTGAAAGGCCCGCCCTGCCTCCGCGATGAAGAGCAAAAGCGTGGCCGCCTTAACAGTTCAATTTCCCTTTTGCTGGTTCTTGCGCACTGCCAAAGCTTTGTCAGGAGCCTCGTATTCCTGCGCCGGCGCCGGCCTGCGCGCGGCTCAGGCTAACGAGAAGAGCGACGCGTTCCACTGAGGCGTGGCTCGACCTTCGCGAGGAGCGTGGTCCGAGCTGGTGTTTTGACGTCTTCCGTCGTTGGGTTTCGTGCCGCCGGGGCTTCCTGTTTGGGTGTGGAATTGAATTGT